CACCCCCCCCCCCCCCAAAGTTTTAGTAGCATAAGAAAATTATATATTTTTCCTTTCACACATGTCACAGCTGTTTGCATAATTGTTTGTTCTTTCTTACAGTTTATGATGAAAACATTTTTGGGTGAAAATTTAAAATTTCTGCCATGGGTTATGGAAAGCAGATAAGTAGAAAATACAGTAATATTACGGCACATACTGTTGTTATGGGGGAAAAATAATTGCTGTCTGTCTTGAAACAACATTGATCAACTGTAATAGAAAGCTGTTTCCATTTCATGCATGTTGGGTATAACACAGTCGGAATAAAGTAAATAAACGTATTCAGAGAAATAAACCCTAAGTGCACGTATGAAAAATTATTACACAATTAATGCATTCAGATAAACAATATGATGAACCACTATAGAAAAATTTCATTCATGATGGTGAATCCAAAATCTCTACCCCTAACCCCTAAATTCCAATTGATCCAATGGTTTCTATAACACACTTTTCCCACACCTTAGAGTTTTCTAGGAACACTACTGTCATGTAAAAGGAGAAATGGCTCTGTATAATAAAAATAAAAGTAAGAATTTTATCTTATAGTCATTTAAATTTAGTATATTTCTACCACAAATATTATTAGAAGCATAGGAAATATAATAAATACATACAGAATTTTGGTTGGAAATCCTGAATGGAAGAGACCATTTGGAAGATGTAAGTGTAGATAAGAATATTATATTAAAATGATTCTCAGGGAAAAGGTGAGAGGATTAATCTGGCTCCCAGTAGACACCAGTGATGGATTCTTATGAACACAGTAATGAACCCATGGTTTTCATAAAAGGCAGGGAGTTTTATAACTACCTAAGCGATTGTGCTTATCAAGGACTGCTTCATGGAGTTTGTTATATTTACAATCTCTTCTAGATCAAAGATTACGCAAAATTGTACCAATTATGTACCAGAGGTGCCAGCTGCCTCCAGAGTTGACTTACTACTTCTGGCTTGACTACTCCCGGGCTGGAAAACTGTATGATTTTTGGACAAAACTGCACAACTCCGTACATTCTCCCTCAAGTCTGCAACCTTCCAGGTATTTGAAGCATTGAAAGTAGAATAACTGTAGTTTCCAAATGCATGTCTTGCAGTTAACATTGTTGATGAAGCTAACATATGTTATAATGTATAATGAGGTTTGGTGGCAAGATCTTGTGAATGCGGGCTTTTTCAGAAGGACTCTGCTCCTTGGAGTAGGTTAGTTTATGCAGGTTTCTTACTCAGAAGCAGTCTCCTCTTGTCTGAATTTGTGTGTGTTTCTAGGTCAGTGAAAAGAACATAATCCTTATCTCTCAACACCTAAAGCTAATTGGGTGTGGTTTATCAGTAGAAATCATATGATACAGTGGAGTTATTTGTACGTTAGAAAGTTTCCTCAAATGGAAGCCAACACAGAAATAGTTTGGCGTGTTATTTATTTTATTTGTAGTGTTCTGTCTGACGA